GATGCAAAAGGAAAACGAAATCTATCATCAAATACATATTTAAGAAAAAAATAGATGATTTTGCAGAGAAACATGAACATCTAAAGCTTCTTTAGTGCAAGTATTTCTGTGGGTAGGACTGTAGCAGTCTACAGTACTGCTCTATTATGGAGAATGAGATAATAGGACTTTCTAGTTTAAGGCAATATTTCTCTGCAAATCCTGCAGATACAGCAGGGAACACAACTGATAAAGGGAAGACTTAAGTGTTTTTTTTTTCTTTAAACAAAGTATAACACTTTGCTTCAGTTTTTGAAGAGAAAGTGTTTCAGTATTTTTAGCATTCACAGGAATGAGGGACTGTGTGCACTCCGGTGCAGGCAGAGAACAGGAAGGTGAGGTACAAGATTTCACATTTACCTCTGCTAATGCATTTTACACACTGCCCTGCAGCACTCCTAATGCTCCAGCCCAGTGTCTCTTCAGCAGAGATGGCAAAGGCACCCAAGACCAAACTGCATGGTGGTGGTGGTGTAACAGGGATCAATGCCCACAAGGGAACATGGAACGCTGTCACTTCAGATCTGGCTTCACAGCTTAACTCAAAATGCCTCTGTCATGATGGACAGTCTTCATTTTCTAACTCACCCCAGCGGGATTCAATTTTAACAGGGACGCTTGCAAAATCAAGAAACACACAAAGCAAAACCTTTTGCAAAATTTCATTCCTAGTGAACAGGTTTAATAGAAGATTTAAACCCCAAGGGTTAAAAGACATGTTATTTAAAGCCTAAGTAAACTTAAATTGCCACTTTACAACATACGTTCCCGTATCAAAAACAGAACTTCTAGCCCCACTACTTCTAAAATTATCAAATTAATCTAATTTTATTCTGAGTGATTAAGATGAAATTTGGGAAGTAAAAAAAGCAAGACCAGACTGTCAAATGTAATATTTTAACAGCATTTTATACCTCCAGTTTCTCCTTGCTCTCAGGAGATAACATTGGAGTTGGTGTGTGTAACTTTCAGTATCGCACATGAATTCCAATAGCAATATCCATCCAAAGGAGATGATCTTTGAAGGGATGATGCAAAGATCAGATATAGCAAGTTCCCAGCAGGTACAGAAAGTTGCTGCTGCCTCTGTTCCCAGCACTTGCCCATGTGTGGATGAAAAAGAAGTGGCCCAGCTCACTGGGTATGAGGTTAATTCTTGCTGCAGGATACGCATATTCCAAGCAAAGAACAACGACTGCTGCCTCCCAGATTGGGCAGTAGGCTTCTCTCAGTGCAGCACAAAATCATCAGCTTTGCATTCTCTGTGCATCTGTCATGGAGCAGTGGTACCTGGCTTGTGCTGTGCAGTATTGTCCCAGAGAATGAACCCGGCTTCAGCTCTAAAACTTGCTAGACCAAACTGGGCTAACCTGCACGCCTCTAAAAAAGCTAAGAACAGCATGCTTGTGCAAAAGTGGGACAGAGGTAATTTTTCAACAATTTATAAGCCGATAATTCTGATCTTCTTTGACAACTACACAGAACAGGTACAGCCCCAGCATTACAACAAACCCCAACTTTATAAAATCCTCAAGACAGTGTAGCTCAAGCCAGCAAAACATAAATTTACTCATGGCAAAATGAGAAGAAAAATCTTTGTGATGTAGAAACAGATGTCACTATTTCTCATAATATGGCATTACCCACCGATCTGTATGCGTGGCTTCGCTGGATATATTTAAAGTGTATTTCATAAGCATTTCAACTACTTTGTTTTAAGTATATCTAAGTGAACTGGGAATACCATACTCTTTCTTAAAAGTTTTATTTACATGAAAACTTACAGTAACTAATCACTTAGACTAGTCAAAGCAAACAAAAACCCCCATTTCATTAAACTAAAAAGCCGCAATAACAGAAAATCCGACACAGCCAAGACATAATTATGATCAACATCAGACATAGAAGCATAAAAAGTGAAAAGTGCAGCCAGAACATTCAGTGTGTCAAGCAGAGTGAATGTGATTCCAGTATTTCAATATAATTAAACCATACTTCTTACATAATGTGAGTTAAGTGACAGTCAAGAGTGAAGTAACTAAAAGCTTTCTGGTACAGGAATACTAGCATTGAAAGGTAATTTTCAAGATTTTTTTTTTAAAGAGCAGGCCACAAATAAATTCTGGTTGTTTCTCAATGAGGAGAATCTTCTTTCACTTCAATATTATCACTTGTGTGCACAACTCAACAAGTATTTAGTTAGTTTTGTATTACAGTAAAATTCCAGCGGATTTGAAAATGAGAGCAAATTCTCGTGTATAGTCAGAGTGAGGTTTAACAAAACCCAAGAAAACGCTTTACCCAGTGATGTACTCACTGCCCTTTCCCCACCTTCTCTACAGTCTTCTATTTGTGGTAGTAAAATCCTGCTGAGTTTAATTAATGCACAGAATTCACTTCTTACAGTTGCATCAAAATAAATAAGAAAAGTTAAAGTATATATTTGTGACAAGGGATATTAACTACTTTGAGCTTATTTACTGAGGCAAGCAGCAGTACAGCCTTAATGCTGTGGGAATTATTACTGTAACACAATTTCTGCAAAACAGCTCACAGTCAAATCCAAGGTTTATTTCTGCTACAAATGCCCAATTATTTGAGCTGACATTTGCTCTGGAGCACAGCCTAGAAGAGCAGTGCATGCCTAGCAGGCCTGGACTCCCCTCCACCCAAAACTGGATTACCTGTCAGTTTGGAGGAATGGTGGGGCTACATTTGGCAGCTGTAATATGTGGCAGCACTTTTGGAGGAACAAGAAAGCCAGCTCTGCTGTAGACTGGAGAATCAGAGCTGTGACACCACAGCACTCGGAGCAGTTTCACTGCCAAAGGGACACATCCAATTTGTTGGGTTTGATCTCCAAGCATGGAGATCAGTGCTGTTGCAGTTATGCCGGTAATGATATCAAATTATAGCTCATTTTAACCTGACTTTTATGAGCCTACATAAACATCCAGACTTGAAAAAAAAAAAAAAACCAAAACAAACCCAAACTAATAGAAAGCATGATGGTTTCTAATTAATTACAGGTAAAGTCAAGTTATATCATGACTGAGATTTTAGGACGTAAACAGAAGTCGAAATATTGCCACAGATGAAGTTGCAACTAGAGTAGCCTGGGGTCATTCACATATGCTGCAGCTCATCTTGATTTAAATCTTACATCTTATTTAATTTTTTCTTGCCTACATCCAGCTTAAAATGGTTGAGTAGTAAAAAATGCTAAATATATGTAAATCAGAGGTGAGATTAATACTTTCCCCCCCAAAAAGATACTACAGTGCAGATCTAGAATGTTTCACATAAGAACAATATAAATGCTATGACAAAAGAGAAAGGTATTTTCTCATGGTTTACAAGCTACATCAGTGGGATTCCCTGGGAGAGACTCTAGTCCTGAACTACAATTGTAAGGAACAGTTACAGAAAGTTCTTACAGGTTTGCAAAAAGCTTATCAAGTTATATTAGTTCTCTAGGGTAGATCTTCTCTTTCATAAGTGGCAGTAGAGGAGCCTGGAGCTAGAAAAGCAGTAATACAGGGAAAAGTACTACCAACCCAGTTCACTTGTATCACTTACAGATAGGATATTATTTTCCAGCATCTGTCAGTCAAAATGAAACTGAAAGCAAAGGACAAAGTCCAACTCCATTAACTCAATGCCTGTTACCTGTCCACAGGTGACAACTCTATTGAATAGAGATCAGATCAGCAGATCCCATTTTAAGTCCCTGTAGTCGAATCCACTACCATAAATTTAAGAGATATACATTATAAAATGCACACACATGTCCCTTCCCTTCTTAAACAGAGAAGAAATTCAGATTTGATGCTTAAAACACTCCACACATTCCCATGAAAGAGCACAGTGAGGGGACAGAACCAACCTGTTGGCTCACAAAGGTTGAAAATTTAAACAAATAGATCAATAATTTTCTACCTGAAAAAATTACAAGTCCCCAAAACATAGAACTTTACTTTTGTAAGCAGTTCAAAGACCATCTCAAGATTCAAATTATGCCTTTGATTTCCTTCTTACAGATAATGAACATATATGCAGTCAGGACATAAGCTTGCACTTGCTTTAATCATGCTGGGTGCCAGCTACAGAGCAATCCAGTTAATTAAATACAGGTGTCAATGCAGCCATTCTTGATGTCCAAGAGCAAACTATCAGCTGGACTCCAGCTGCTGCAGGAGAAAAATGCACATCTCCCATAGGTCCTGTTATGACATCTAGCTCTGTCCAAAGGCTTAGCCTTTGTCTAAGGCTGTCTTAGATTATCTGGAACACATAAAATAGTACTCAAGCTCTTTATGGGGCAGTTAAATCACTCAGATTGTCCCACTGACCTCCATATATCAGCTCAAGTGAGTAATGCCCAAGAATAAAAAGCTGACTCTGTATTCAAGAACGTACAACACTGGAACCCCACATGATTCACCTTCAGCTGTGACACTGTAGAGTTTGGACTGCTACAAATCAATAACAAAAGCAGCAACAGAAAGCTGCAGTTATCACCACCCAAGAGATTAAATATGAGTAGTTCTCTCCCAAGTTACAGGCTCTACTGTCATTCTTGTTTATGCACGTAAGTAAAATATTATCAGAAAGATATTTCTGAAAGATTATTCACAGCGGTGCTATCACAGTCTATTCCATGTGTTCTCTGCCCTCAAAAAGCACACCAGAGCAATCTTTTATTTGCCAGGAATAGCTGTGCTGACTCATGTAACCAGTTAAAAAGCCAATAGCAAAATGCCCATCTTAAGTGCATGGTTCCCTTTCCCTAGTCTCTAATATATCAATAACAGAAAAAGTAGATTTCAGGCACAAGAGAACAACAAAACCAATTTTACATCAAACCATTTCCCCAATTTGCTAACGAGAGCCAAAGAACAACACAGCAAGAAACTCATTCCTCAGTAAGATCTGTGCAAGGACTGAAGCAAAGCACTTACCGTGTCTTGGGATTTATCTTTGACATCATAGACTGTAAGTTTTATTTTAGTTTCCTCATAGATGGGGTATTCCGGTGGGAAGGTCACACCAGTCAGAAACAGTGGATCTTTTGTACCCTGTGCAACATGAGTAAACACTCAGTAAGGTAACAGCTGAGCAATGTGAAGGATGTCACTATGGAGGTACAGAAACCCAAAAGGTGTCAGCTGTCTGCAGCAGAGAGATGGGAACAGCTCAGTTTTATTACCCAATCAATGAGAAAAAACAAACAGCCTTACAGCCTTGAAACTTTATCAGGACAACTAAAAAAGAAAAACAAGCAAAACCCAAACAAAACTACAACTTCCTGGAAAGTTTTTTTTTAACTGGAAAGGATATGAAGTGCTTCAGAGGCAGAGCCTGATATCACATTTTTAAACAGCTCAGTCAGTACCAGGTTCTGGAATACAACCTATAATAACCAAAAACCCTTTCTCACTCCCACAACACTTTTTGCAAGTACCAAAATTTCATCTTTATTTAAATGAACTAAGGATTTAACATGCACACACATACAAACAAGAGCCATTTTCATTAAGCCACAATACTAAGTGTATAGAAATGCTACAGAGACTGTCAGTATTACATTAAGGATACTGATTTTGTGGAGAGGGGATTGAAATACTCCTCTTTAGGCAGTACTGCTATAAAATAAAATTCCTGTGCTTTCAAACATTATGATTACACTTAAAAGCTGTACAGAGAAGTAACTACATCATAGCTGAAGATGAACAATTAAATGAATAATACAAAATGTTGTTTATAATTTCTTAATGCTTAATTACACCTAATTTCCAAAGATTACCAGGAGTGTATCCTTAAATTTTCCATTAAGTAATAAAAGAAAAAAAAGGATTGTGCACGACAAAAGTAATTTATGTTATGGATTAACTTTCTGTGACCCTGCCTTCCCCTCCACCAAAGCTTGACTACAAAACCAAGAACCTTAATAAAACAAATTCAGGAATTTATTGAAGTCTAGGACATTGTATTAGGAAATGCATCAACTTCTATTTAAAAAAATACGTAGTTATCTATTCATCTTTTGCACAACATCATTCCAGACAGTCTGCCATGAGACATCCTGATCAGATACAAGATATTTGAATGAAGCAGTTTCAGGATGGTTGAGGGCTGAAACCATAATAATTTAATTAGTAGTTGGGTGAAAGTCATCACACAAAGACCTCATGAAATATTCTGATTGTATTTAACAGTTAAAACAAGCCTCTGGTGAAATCATGTGTGTGTTTACCATGAGACTTTGCTGCTCTTAATGAATCTCCCCAGTAAGTTAAGCAAGTTACATCTACACTGCTCACCCTTCATTTTTGCTGTTTCTGACACCAATGCTTACAGGGCAAGGTGAGGACTAGCAAAGCAGCCTCACACAACTTTTGTTGTAATGTATGATCCAAATTGCTAATTCTTTTATGTAAAGTCACAGACATTACATACACACATTTCTTTCCCAAAATATACATCTAGGGTAATAGTTTTCAAATTGGAAAAGCATCGGCTCTTTAATGGAAAAAATAGAACAAAAAACAAATAGGATAACAGACCACATAATACACCTATGCTTTTCTGCATTTAAAAATACTTTCCAAACTCACTACACTCTTAAGTTTTACTCTGCATTGCCTTGTCCCTTCATGAGAGCAACTATTCCCTGTTTCTTTCTAAACCTGTGTCTGGAGAATAGGAATATTCTCCATGCCTCTACTTGGAACAACAGAGCTTTCATGAGAAGCCAAGTTAATTTCTGTTTATCCTGGTGAAATGCCAAGAACTACAGCACACTTCAGTATGCTTTACTAACTGCCAGAGTGTGCTTGTCTTACCTAAGACTATGCACTAACTTGTTTCAGTCCTAATTCACTTTCTAAGGAAGAAATGAGCAATCCAATAATCAGCAAGTTCATTGAATAAGAAAGACTCTCACCTCCACGATTTCAGTGCTTGAATACCGCGTCGAAATGTGCTCGGCTGGATGCACCACTGAGACCTGGATAAACGTGTTCAGCTTCCGATCACGGGCAGCAGCCACTAGATCCTTGCATGCTGGAGACAGTGCAAAATAAAAATAAAAGACTCAAAAGCAAACTCCGGGAAAATGCTGTCACAGGCACAGGACAAAGCAGACCACGCTCCAGCTCCAGATCAAATCTCCAGAGACAAGTCAGTTTAACAGAGGAAGTCCCGTGGAAGTAACCTACAGAAATAGGAAGTCACATGCCACAGAACTGAGCTGAGATTTCGTTTCCACTAAAAATATTTGCAGCTTCTGCAAAGCTCCCTGCCAGAGGCTCATCAGCCCCAGCCCACAAGCGTGCATGCGCACACGCTGCAATAGTAAGTAATTTTACATAAGTACCCATTTAATTTGCCCACAAAATCTCTTGTAGCAGCCTTATTGGATCTTCTCTTGTCTGACAATTTCCCCAGTTACACAACCTTTTCAAACACATTCTAAAACAGCTAATTGCTATCAGTGGTTAAGCTGGTTTATATGGTTTGTTACTACTTGTGAACTTAGAGCTAGTTGTCAGGTATAAATCTACATACCTAAAAGCAGGCAGCAACATAATCAATTCTTTTGTCAGTGACTGGTATATAAATGAGAATTGCATTCTGCCTATATAGCATCATTCTAAAAACTCATTCTACCTAAGAGAGAAATTCTGTTCTGTTTTAGTAATTCACTTTTATCCTGGAATCAGAGTCCCTTACCATGGGATCATTCTTTACACTAACACACCTTATGCCTTCAAAATGAAAGGGTGAAAGCACTGAAGAAAAAGAAGGAAGGAAGAAACAACTAAATGCATCATCAGCTGCTCCACAGAAGGGACACAGATTAATGAGCCACGCATGGGCTCAAAAGCAAAAACAACCCACCTTCTCTTCTTCCCCACGAAATATACAGCAGTGAACACTGTGGTGGGATCTACCCAGTGCTTTCTGCAGGGCAGTAAACTACCCTGGGATCTCAGAAGCCTGAGGCAAGCAAAGACAAGACTATGGCTTCAGAGAGGGTGATTGTCAAGCAGGAGCTGAGGGTATTTTCTATGAGCCTACATTGCCTACCAGGGGCTTCCTCAAGTGCAGCTGACCTTTAACTTTTCAAAAGGTGAGTCAGATTATCCTCACAGCAAGCAAGCTTGGTCTGAGGAGAAACCAATGCTAGAAAAGCTCTGATACATACAAAAGGCCAACTCAGCTTGTTTTATACCTTTTTTTTTTTCCTTTGGGCTTGAACCTGCTGCTGGAGTAAATAAAAGGAAAACTAGCTGAAGCTTTTTTACCACTCTTTTATTACAGTTAAAAGAGACAGGGAGACAATTAAATCTAACCTTCAGAGATTCAAGTTTTTGCTTTAGCCCAAATTGCCAATGAAATCTCCTGGTATATAGTTTCAAACTGACCACTGTTGCAATTTGGCAGAAAAAGTGGGATAAGCATAAAAGTTTGTGCATGATGAGGTCTTTACAAAAGAGCTGACGTAACAGTACCAGGCTCAAACAGTGAGTTGCCAGCAAGTCTGTGCTGCTAAGACTCACTGCCTTATTAAAATGACTGAATACCAGCACTCCTTGACATCATCTCAAAAATTACAGTAGACTTGGGGAAAAGCAGTTGTCGAAGCACAAAAGGTTCAGCAGACACCTTCTGACACTGTTTGACTCTGTCCTCTCTACAGCTGATCACATAAGTAGCATCAGATCACTGAGATTTCCAAATATAGCCAGTTCCCCCCACAGCATCTGATCTCATGCCATCCTTCAACCCTTAAATACTGCACTCTATAGTCATCTTTTTAGAACATAGCACAGTTTCAGAGGAATGGCAAGAGAGCTCATGTTCACTACCAGAAGCTGGAACAGGGAGACAGTAAAATTTTTTACACCTACCACACAGGAAGGCTAGCCAGCTCACAATTCATTAGAATGCAACAAAAAGTGAGAAAAACAAAGACACACAGACACTTAGGAGAAACAAAATCAGACCCCCAAAAACCCTTATCAGTGACTCTTGGTAGGAGCTCTGAAGCTGAACTCTTGGAAAAAGTACTACAGCATGATGAATCGAGGCAAAACCCCCACAAATAATAGTTTGATCTAGTTGCGTCTTGTCTCAAATACATTATCTAGATGTGACTAAACCTTTTAGCTGCCAAGAGCACAGGCTTTTATCCTACTGAGAAACCATTAACAATAGGAAGAAGATTTGCACTAAGTGGTCACCACCTTGCTGCTATCTGAACATAGGAGGCAATTTATTTCTGTGACAAGTACTGCAATCCAGTCATTAGATTATTTTTCCTGTAAAAAGGTGGCTTAGCAGCATGATCTTGAATTTCATTGGACAGAGCTGACAGAAAAATAACTCATCTGCATATCTCCAGTAGGGAGGATCAGCATAAAGCATCAGAACTCTTTGGGAAACACTGGTGCAAAGGGATAAATGAAATTAAATGAAACCTGCATCTACTTTGATGACAGTGTTATTTATCTCTACTGTGACACTGGACTACTGCTGTTCACAACTCTTCTTTCAGTCAGAGAGGATATTCAATAAAGTTATCCCAGTAAAGAACACACAAGTTGCCAGTTTGAGCTACAGTACATCACTTCCCTTCAAAACAGCCCAAATTAAAAGTTGAACAAAACAAAAGGACTACTTTTAAGCTGATGCCAAAGAATAAAAGCTTGTTATATCCTGTTCACAGCCTTGCGAGCTCTACAGCCCCATGCTGCATTACTGTCCTTTGAACAATTTTACTATCAGCACTTCCAAAAACCTTAGGTCTTCAAAGCAACAAAGCGGACAAAGTGGAACATTACACAGCTAGGAAAGCATGCTATATATTTAAACAAGTTGTTAGGTATTATTAGCATGCCACTCAAACAGAAACTGATGGAAGCACAAGCAGGAAAGGCATTCTGAGGCTGTTTGCTTAACTGCAAACGTAACAGCGTCAGAGCAGGTAACAACATCCACACACTTTCCACCATACCCTACGCCCAAGCAGAGCACAGGTTACGTTATTTCTCAACACCTCAGCATGTCTGAATTAATTCTGGAAAAATTCACCAACAAAACACAGTGAAATGAAGCACCAGCTTGTACTTACATGCCAAAAGTATATGAATCTACTCATTGTGACTGTTGACTCAGTGTGTAAAAGCCTGAGTCATCCATTCCCCCGGTGACCAAACCTCTGCTGAGCCTATCAGCGTACAACGAATGTTTAAGGAAGAACTGCATTAAGAATAATTTATGCTTTAATATCAACAGAGAAAAAAGTTCAGATAGCAGGAAGAAACAAATCTTCTAACTGATATTTCACTGTTTTCTGTGCTGCACTGACATGATGGCTGTGCTCTCTGCCCTTCTGTGTGTGTGCCTACATAAAGAAGTGAAAGACTGGCTACTGTTTCCTCATGGGACCTTGGAGGATTTTTTAAAAATGTAACTTCTATATTGGAAGAGAGTACAGAGAGAAAAACTAAAAAACCCTATTACTATATAACAGTAAGAAGAAAGGAAACAAACAAAGCCCAAAATAGAAATAGCCTGGAAATTCATCATCTACCTTCCCTGAAACTGTAACACTTCTGACCAGGCATTTTGCACTCTCTGCTCCAAGCACAAAGCCCACTGGAGCAAAAAAAAATTAGTCTGGCAGAGAAACAGAGAGATGCAGCATCACCCAGAAATGGAAAAGATCCAGTAGCTAGAACAAACAACACGGGCAGTGGGAATGAAAGACATTCCCAGCTCAGAGTTGTTTGGGAAATGAGCCAAGAAGGATATCAAAAATTGGGAAATGGCATTGAAACTGAATAGTTTATTTTTGCTAGTGAGGAAAAATACAGTGCATTGGTCAATGTCTTCTCATACTCTGGATTACACAGTCTAGGTATTAGCCCATATGATAGTGTGTAAGGTAGCTCTTTCTTTAACCAGCGACAAACACCGTTTCCTCACAACTTCATTTCTTCCCATATTCCAAACCAAAACAGATTCCAGGGGGCTGGCTAGGAACAGGAATTAACAACATAGCCCTGTTGTCTCCAGGGTATGCTATTTTGTACACTGTCAAAACAACAGAAAATCAGTAGCAGCTGATGGCAAGGGGCATGGGAAAAGCCTGTGTCTCACATAAACATATATATGTGACAGTAATGTTCAAATTTTTACTTGTTCATTGACAACGCAGAAGCATTATTATCCCAAAGCAACTTAGTTTATAAATAATAATGCACAGTCTGTCTTGATAAACTAATAAGTAAGGTGTAGCTACTCCTTGGTGGGCAAAAGGACCTGTTAAAGCAGGGAATGCCAGACTTGGACCTGTGCTACCAGCAGAACACAGAACAGCACAGAGTTTACTTTCTTCCACCCTGAGGGAGTGCTGAGGATGGTAGGAAAGTGTAAGAGAAGGAAGTGCACATCACCACTGTTTCTGCCTCTGCTAGAAAGGAACACCTTCAGTCAGGCACATGCAAAAGCTTAGGAATAATCAAATCTTGGAACACACAGGAAAGCTTTGGCCATACTTCTGAATTAAGAGTGCAAATGCAACTGCAAGAGGGCTGAGAAGTGAACAGCAATGTGTTCTCTGTTTGGCAAACCATGCCTGAAAGCAAATGAAATGAACATTTGAGAATGGGCATTAGCACAGAATGGTGTCAAAGAGCACTCCTGCTAGTGCTCCATAATAAACCTCAGTAACTGGGTTATCATCAATACCACTAACTAGTTGTCCCATTCCTGCACCAGCAGGAATGCTTCAGTTTGCTGATGGGGACAGAAAGAACAGAGAAGTTGCTCCCACAATTTGCACTGTGGACTCCCAGAATAATTCACCATGCAAGACTAAATGGATGTGGCCACAAAAATTATAATGTCCATGTTATCACAAAATGAGAGCACAGTTACACAGCCATGCAACAGGCATGCATTAGGAGGGACACTTTTTAATTGTAGTGACCAAATCAGATGCTCAGACTCAGGTGAACTCTATAATGAAAAGAAACTCAGTGCAACAGAAAACT